AAGAAAATTAGGAGCTACAAATTCTAATGCTTAAAGTATGGCTGGTTTTATTTATTTATTTATTTATTTATCTTTGTATTTTTTTAATTTATTTTTTATTATTATACTTTAAGTTCTAGGGTACATGTGCATAACATGCAGGTTTGTTACATATGTATACTTGTGCCATGTTGCTGTGCTGCACCCATCAACTCGTCAGCACCCATCAACTCGTCATTTACATCAGGTATAACTCCCAGTGCAATCCCTCCCCCCTCCCCCCTCCCCATGATAGGCCCCGGTGTGTGATGTTCCCCTTCCCGAGTCCAAGTGATCTCATTGTTCAGTTCCCACCTATGAGTGAGAACATGCGGTGTTTAGTTTTCTGTTCTTGTGATAGTTTGCTAAGAATGATGGTTTCCAGCTGCATCCATGTCCCTACAAAGGACACAAACTCATCCTTTTTTATGGCTGCATAGTATTCCATGGTGTATATGTGCCACATTTTCTTAATCCAATTTGTCACTGATGGACATTTGGGTTGATTCCAAGTCTTTGCTATTGTGAATAGTGGTATGGCTGGTTTTAAATACCTGCACTCAAATCTTTCTGTGTATTTCACCAATTGTAAGACAATAAAGACACCTACTTGCTAGTAATAATGTATGTGGTGGTTTGATTTTTTAAACTAAGAAATAAATACAAAACAGAGTTGAAAGATATTCATAAAAAGACATAACTAAAATAAGAGAATAAAAGAGTAAAAACTGTCACTGTCTCCTGGAAGACAAGTGAAACTTGGCCATTCCCATTCGAATTCACTTTTTCATTCATTTATTCAATAAATACTTTTTGAGCACCTACTATGTGCCAGGCTTCTAGACACTAGAGATAGGGCACAAATTAACCAAACAAAAACCTCTGCATTGATGGAACTGTTATTCTAGAAGCATAAGAGATAATAAACAAATAAATAAAATATATAGTATGTCAGATGATCATAACAGCTATGGAGAAAAACGAAGTTGGAAAAGGAGTTAGAAAGTGTCAGGACAAGGGAAGGGGGCATTGTCAAGTTAAGTAGATGTTCTTGGAAGGTGACATTTGAACTAAATCTGGGGAGGTCCTGGGTGGTTTTTGGGAATAAGGAAGGGGACATGAAAATAATCACACTTTTTTTTTTTTTTCGTGTAGTCCTGTCCTCAGGATCTTGCATTCCACTGGGCTGTTTTTATTGGTAATGACCCACACTTGTAACTAATTAAATGCTACTGTCAGACTGAAAGAGATACTCCATCCAACAGAGATGGAACATGGCAACTTGGCTCAAACCTTGAAGGATGGGGAGAGACGGGATGTGATGTAGGGGGAGGACAGCAAGAAGGATAGCATAAGCAGGGGGAGGCCCTGGGCAGAGAGGGGTAATGCCTGCTTTAGGGACAAGCTGGAGCTCTTCCCTGCTCCAACAGAAAGGTAAGGAATAAAGTTGGTTTTGTGAAGTGGGCATACAAGCTAGTGAGAAAAGGTCACGCTTGGTCATAGAGGCTACAGGAAGACACCAAAGCTAAATGAGCAGAGAAGAAATATGATGAAACAGGTATTTTAGTGAACTTCATCTAGTGATGGAATCAGATTAGATAGGAGAAAGAAGAGGTTACAGGCAGTGAAGCCATTTAAAATCTTATTTTTGTTATCTAGATATTAATTTATAAGGGCTAGACCACCAGAATGAAAGCCACTGTGAGAACAGTGATATTTACAAAAAAGTGATATTTATAAGGAACAAATAGCAGACCTTGGTAGGTGATTAGATCTGAAGGACACAGAAGGAAAAAAAATTAGAGCTGACGTATTTCTAAAGTTCAGAGAAAGGCAAGCAGATGGAGTCATTCCAAGACACAGGCCTCTGTGATTCAAAGACAGTGTGACTTACTCAGGATCACACAGTTAGCAAAAAGCTGAAGCCAGAACCCAGATTTTCTGCTTTTCCCTCCACTGGATGACTCCAAAGTTTTAAACCTGGAAAATGAGGAAGTAGTGTGCCACCACTGCCCCCCAAAAATGGGTGATTACGGAGAGATAGCTAGCTTCCAGTTAAGTAAGGTAGATGGAGAATTTTAGTTTTATATTGAGTTTGAAGATACTAGAGTACAGAAATCTGGGAAATAGGCAAAACTTTAGGATAGGAAATGGCTCTGCCCTTACTAGTTTGTAATCTTGCTCAAGTCACTTAACATCTCTAAGTCTCAGTTTCTCCAGTTGCAAAGAGGTGTATGGGGGGGTTAATGTTATTATTTAATGGTTGCTATGAATTAATTTCTATAAAGGACTTGGAGCAGTACCAGTGCAAGATAAGTGTTATTTAGTTATTTGTTAAATAAAATAGGTAAGATGCAATGTAAAGAAAGAGGTTGGCTTTCTGGGGAGGTAAGAAGAAGATGTGGGGAAACTAAAGAATTTAGGATAATTGATGTATGGTCTGAGATAGAAGTCAAGGAAAGAGTTGTATGAAGGTGAAAAACCAAATTGAATGACACAAAGATACAGAGAAAGAGGAAGGCCAAGAGAGACCATCAGATGCGGAAAGAAGGAGACCTCCGAGAGTTCACTCTGGACAGAGAGCTGATGGAGAACGAAAGAGGCAGTGAGAATAAGGAAGAAAGGCACTTGGATAGCTATTTGCCAGCGATATGTGAATGTATCTAAGAGCAGATCAAACTTGAAAATAGGCATTTGACTAAATTAATGGATAACACATTCATGGTGAATTGTTAAAAGAGTGTTAAGGAAATCTGGAGACCATTCTAACCATCAGGAAATTGACAGCACAGAGGATAAAAATGCTGGCCTAACCTTCATGGTTAGGTACCAAATACTAAATCTATTGCAGTATGATTTGAGGTAAGATGGAAGATTTTGTGATTCCCGCATTCACCCAAAAAGTTTCCTTGATTGCAAATGCTGAATATTTGAGATGCTCTCATTACATTTTATTTATGTTTGTGTGAAACCAGTATATTTTTGTTCTATGTGAAAGTGTATGTCATAAACATTCAGAAACTCAGAGGAGTTCATCTGAAAGGCTGACATAGTATACCGCTGACCGAAGCCTCTAGGGCAAAATGTTTTCTATGTATCATTCGTTAAGTCTCAGTTTGAAGAAGTACTTACACATTTGTTCTCTTTGTATTTTGCTATCCAAATGTTTGCTCATAAATTCCAATGTAGTAAATAAGGAGAATTTTGAAAGTCAGAAACTCTAAATTTCAAAAAAGCTTTATTTTTCTTTGGGTTTGTTTTCATATGTAGTCTATTGTAGTCTATATAGTGAAATTCATCTTATATGCTTAAAAAGGCACTGATATTTGGTGAGGGATAGCAGGGGCGGGGAGTTACCTAACCAGTACTGAAAAGTTACTAAACTACCTGACACAGCTGAAACCAGAAAGGAGGGCTACATCAGGAAAAGATTGAATATATCCTTAGGCATTTTAGTATTAGGTTACAAATTAGGTTGTATTGGACTGGCATTGTCCAATAGGAATATAATGAGGCCCACAAATGTGAGCCACGTATGTAATTTTACATTTTTAAAAATGAAGCCACATTTTTAAAACGGAAAAACAAACCGGTGAAATTAATTTTAATAATATATTTTTTTATATCCAAAGTATCATTTAACATGCAATCAACATGAAAATCATTAACAAGACATTTTGCATTATTTTTTCTGTACTGTCTTTAAATTCCAGTGTGTATTTTACACATCCAGCAGTTGGCAATTCAGACTAACCATAATGCCAAGTGGTCAATAGCCACATGTGGCTAGTGGCTATCATATTAAATAGTGCAGGTTTGAACCAAAAATACTTTGCTTTGTTGTTTTTTGTTTTTGTTTTTGTTTTTGTTTCTAGACAGAGCCTTGCTCTGTGGCCAGGCTGGAGTGCAGTGGCAGATCTTGGTTCACTGCAACCTCCGCCTTCCGGTTCAAGTGATTCCCTTGCCTCAGCCTCCCAAGTAGCTGGGACTACAGGCGTGGGCCACCACACCAGGCTAATTTTTTGTATTTTAGTAGAGACGGGGTTTCACCACGTTGGCCAGGATGGTCTCGATCTCCTGACCTCGTGATGTGCCCGCCTCGGCCTCCCAAAGTGCTGGGATTACAGGTGTGAGCCACTGCGCCAGGCCTACTTTGGTATTTTTTAAGAGCAAGTTGGTAAATGGGGGCATTATATGGAGAGTACTCTAGTATAGCACAGGTTAGAGCAGCATGCCAGCAACTTGAAATGGACACGGGCTTTTCCACTCCAGTCAACACTGGGACTTTTCTGTTTCTATCTTGAGTTTGAGGCTGGGCCTCTTAGTAGACCTCAGTCTGAAACTGAAATAAACCTGGACGCAGTGTACCCTTGAATCGCAAGAATGCCGCATTCAGTGTTTGCCCAGAGAAAAGCATTTATGCCAGGTTGTAACGAAAACATTTTTTGAGAACTCATAATGTTTATTCCTTGGATGAATCCACTATATTTATTTAGTGTCCCAGGAAGGACGATGGGCATATTGCTTGCAAAAGTTGATTTGAACTGATAGATTCCACTAACTTTTTTTTTGTCTTTTTTTTTTGTCTGCCTTCTTCGAGAATGGGTGTCAACCCTTAATAACGCCTAGCCTTAAGAGTCCCTGGGTTGATCCCCGACCTCGCCAACTTTGTGGGACTCCCACAACTTGCCCACATTCCCTGGCAGCTTCTGGCAGATGGAGTTTCCGGCCTGCGCTCAGTGGTCGCCTGTCGTCCGCCCGCGCTCCTTTCTGCGAGAGGTCGGCGGCCCCGGGCAGAGCGCGCCGTCTGACCAAGTATCCGGAGGCCAGTTCCGCGCTGGGTCCACGCCCTCCTCGCCCGCCGCTGCCTGCGTGCCAGGCCGGGTGGCGGGGCTGGCCGTCGCTGCTCGGAGCTTGGGCCCTCCCCCGGGGTGATTTCAGCGTAGAAGGTGGAAATGCGGAAGTTTCCAGCCCCGACTGACAGATGAGGCTTGCGCCTGGCTTGGCATGCTCCGCAGCGACTCTGCGGCGTGCCGGGCCCCAGCTCTCCGCACTCCGCGACCCTAGAAGCCACCAAGCCGCCGGCGGGCCATGGCCACTCTGCCCAGCGCAGAGCGCCGCGCGTTCGCGCTGAAGATCAACAGGTAAGACGCCCCCCGCGGCGCCGCAGGTCGCGGCCGGACATCCCACCACCCGCGTGGCTCGGAGCATCGCTGCAGGGGCCGAGGCCAGACCAGTCCCTTCGCGTCCGCTGCAGGGCGCGCCTGAGACCTGGGGCGCCCGGTTCCCGAGGCTGCAGCGGTGGAGCCGCTGGACGCGCGGTGGCTCCTGCGCTGGGCCCGGCTAGGTCCTCCCAGAGAATCTCGGTGCTCCTGGATGTCCTCAGCCACCGGGGATCGCTTCCCCGAACAACCTCGCCCGCTCCGCCCTCCAGGTTCTTACAGGTGGCCGGGCCTCAGGAGGGTGATAGGCGCCGGGGTAACTGTGTTGGGCACGCCACGGAGTGTCTCATAAACGGTTCCTTCCTTTGAGGCAAGTCTGAGGGGAGGGAAAGAAGTGAAGGGCTAAAATGAGAGTTGCGTTTGAGGCAGGCTGCAAGACTTCTGTTGTCCTGAGCAGGGCTCTGTCCTCTCCTGCTTCATTACTCCAGAAAGAGTTTGGCTCCTGGTGACATCGCTATTTTTATACCCTGCTCCAAAGGAGCCATGAAGTGGAAAAAGTGATTTTTTAAAAATTTCCACTTAAATAAACCAAAAGGAATGGCCTGTGGCTGACATTTTGAGATTTACAGAACTCCAGCAAAAAACTAAGGACTGGGGGATCCCAATTCACCATCCAATTCCTAATCAAAGTTGCACAAACTAAATATAAGCACATTTACTGCTCAAAGTTCTCAGTAAAGGTGCTTTAACTGCAGTTTTTCCTCCACTGAAAACTGCTGACAAGTATTTGGGACATTTTTGTCTTGCCCTGAGAAAGCTAGACTGTCTAGTTAAAAGATGATAGGAAACTCATCCTGAAGTGTCAACTTATTCTGTTGCCCACGGGGCTGTCCGATTTGTTCATCTTCATTTAGCTGAGCCTGTGAAAGGTGGATTTCACTGTAGGTTCATCTTTGTGCTGTTAGTGTGTGAAGAGGTTTGAATAACGAAGAATTAAAAGCCCAGAAAAACAAGGTGGTAAGGTCTTCTAGAAGGCATATTGAGCTTTATTACGATTTTATTTCCACTTGATATGTAACTGCCAGCAAACTGTTTCTCTTACCTTACTATTTCTTCATCTGTAAAATGAGTTTAATTATTTATATATATTGCATATTAATGTTGGAGACCAAAATGTATAAAGAGACTGGGTGCCATGGCTCACACCTCTAATCCCAACACTTTGGGAGGCCCGGGTGGGAGGATTACTTGAGCCCAGAGTTTGAGACCAGCCTGGGCAACACAGGGGGACCCCTGTAGCTACAAAAAATAATTTTAAAACATTAGCCGGGTGTGGTTGCATGCACCTGTAGCCCCAGCTATTCAAGAGGCTGAGGCAAGAGGATCGCTTGAGCCCAGGAGGATCACAGCTGTGATCATGCCATTGCACTCCAGCCTGGGTGAGAGAGTGAAACCCTGTCTCAAAAACACAGACAAAAACAAAAACAAAAACAAGGCATGAAGTATATCAGGGATCTCCCTATGGGAATTTTTTTCTACATTAGGGTTCATAACTGTTGCATGCCAGGAGGGGCAATTCATTCAGGGAGTATAGGAATCAAATTGAAGTTACTGATGGGTGTATTATTGCCGTAGCTGCTGCTCCTCTGTCTTTGTGAATTTTAGGTCAGGAAGTGTGACTTGGGCAGAAAGATGTTAGAAACTATGGGGTTGGGCAGGGTTGACCTGGGGTGAATGGCCAAGACCTGGACTAATCCTACAGGCAGTCTTGCAAACAACTGCAGGGGTCGGTGTCACCTGGGGGTTAAGAATAAAGGCCCTGGTTAGTGTCTGATTTCCTTGCAAATTGGCTCTCAGCTACAAAGTCACTGTGCAACACTAGACATGTTACTTAACTTCTCTAACCTTTGGTTTCTTTATATATCAAGTAAAGATAATCATAGTACCTACTTCTTATGACTGTGGGGAGGATTAAATGAATAATAGGTACAAAGTCTGAATTGCCAAGTACTCAATGTGTAAAATACACATTGGAATTTAGAGACAGTACAGAAAAAATAATGCAAAATGTCTTGTTAATCATTTTCATGTTGATTGCATGTTGCTTGTAGTGTCTGGCTCAGAATACATGGTAAATAATTCTTAGTTACCATCATTAACATTACAATCAACTTCATTGCTGTAATCATCTCCATCATCACCATCTTTGGTAGCCTAAGATAGAAAGGTAGGAAGGAAAGCTGAAGTTGGAGAGCTTCAGGCAGAGATCAGTTTGGGTTGGGTATGGAGATGCCAGTGGCTGGCTGGGAGCTTTCTTGGGGCCAATGTTTCCCCTCATGTGCCTTCCGTTGGGTGCTGAGAACACAAAACACATTCAATGGAAGAAAATATGTGATGAAATCTGATCAAGAAGAGCCCCCTCAAGTTAAATAAAGTATAAAAGGTTTTATAATCCTCAGGCAAGAAAATGGATTGGAAATTCCTATTCTTAGCGTTCTGTTTTCCTCTTTGAAGCATTCTGTGTATTGTGTGGGAGAGTTATGCTAAGGAGCTTGGCAGAAATTGTTATTCAAAGGAGCAGATTGATAAGGACATACCTAATATTAATGTATCATTTAATTTCACCATTTACTATTTACTTATTGTGTCCCAGACACTATGTTACACAGTTAATAGATTTTATGATTAAATTCTCACAAAAAGCCTGTCAAACTCATGAAGTCTTGTACAGAAGAGGAAAAGGAATCTTAGCCATATAGCTTCACAAGGCCATGTAATTTTTTCAAGAACAACCAGCAATGGCAGAGCTAGGATTGCAAACTGCTCCAAAGACTGTGCTCTTAATTGGGCCTATTGTTATCTTGATCCATGTATCCCAAGAATTTCCTTTAAAGCAAGAGAGGAATTAATTTTTTTTTAAATCATCATTTTGGTAGCAGCATTGGCAAAGTGTTCGGTTTCTGATTAGTGTTTAATATATAAACATTAACAATGTGATGTTTTGCAATGTTGAAGGTGGAAATGTTTTCCCTTGCATGTCTACCTATTTTTTTTTAAAATAGATCAAATTCCAAAAGTAAGAACTGTGTTGAAATATGGCCATTAGTACATTCAGCATGTGCTCATGTTTTTCACCTTACTACCCAGAATAGTGTAAACTATCCCTTAAAAATATTTGTGGGATAAAACCAGTATGCTTCCTGTTAATGAAGTATTCAAATCTGATATATTAAAAATATTATTTGTAAAGAGTTCAGTTCTGGCTGGGCACAGTGGCTCAAGCCTGTAATCCCAGCACTTTGGGAGGCCGAGACTGGCGGATCACGAGGTCAGGAGATCGAGACCATCCTGGCTAATCCGGTGAAACCCCGTCTCTACTAAAAAATACAAAAAACTAGCCAGGCGAGGTGGCAGGCGCCTGTAGTCCCAGCTACTCGGGAGGCTGAGGCAGGAGAATGGTGTAAACCCGGGAGGCGGAGCTTGCAGTGAGCTGAGATCCGGCCACTGCACTCCAGCCTGGGCGGCAGAGCAAGACTCCGTCTCAAAAAAAAAAAAAAAAAAAAGTTCACCACACCAGTCTCCAGAAGGAGTAAGCGGACTGTCTCACAGTCTGAGAAGACGCCCACAGTCTTTAAATTCTGTTGACACTGGCCTCTCATGCTCTTATAAATTCTAAATTTCATGTGTTGTAAGCCATCATATGGGACTTGTTTTGTCTTGAGCGCCAGGTGTAATTGTATAACTTGTTAATGGTTAAGCATTTCGCTAGAACCCGCAGCTCAGGAAGGTATAAGAGAAAGGACCAATCACTGAATGTTTCTGAGGTAGAAAAGTGAAATTAATTTTCTTGTAAGTGCTATATACTTGTCTTCATTTCCATTTTATTGTTGCTGACTTGTGGGCCAAGGAAAGACTAGATCTAAGTTAGGTAGTTCATAATAACGTTTACATTTGGGATTTCAGGCGCTGCTGCATTACATGTCGTAACACGGTTACTTGTAGGAACATCCAGTCTTGAGTCTTGTTAACTGCCTTTTTTCTTACTGGAATTTAGTGCCTTTGTAGATTATAAAAATTATTACTAATACTCTGAACCTTTATTAAACAAAATCTTAGTGTCTTTCAAATATAGAATAGATGTAAAACTTGATCAAATCTTAAAGTAAAATAAGAACCTTGGATAAAGAGGACAAAAGTGTAGAATGCAGAAAAAATCGTTAACCCTCTTGTGGATAGTCAGGATTGAAAGGAAGGAAAAATAATGGCTTACACTTCTAGAATGCTTTCTATATCATAACTCATTCACCTCTATGAAATAGGAGCAGTGACTATCTCTGTTTTACAGATGGAGAAACTGAGTGCAGAGAAGCTATAGAAGTTGTTCAAAGTCACATACAACTAATTAAGATCAGAGCTGAGATTCAAATGTAGGCTGCCTGGCTCCAGAATCTTCTCTTTTAATCATTATACCATGCTGTCATCTCAGTTTTATTTTAAAATAATAAGTAGCATTTATTGATTATTTAGTATGTGCTACATATTGTGCTAAGAACTTTATATACATTCATTTCATCCTTTCAAAAAAGGAGCAAACAGGGCTGGGTGCAGTGGCTCACGCCTATAATCTCAGCATTTTGGGAGGCGGGAGGATCACCTGAGGTCAGGAGTTTAAGACCAGCCTGGCCAACATGGCGAAACCCCGTGTCTACTAAAAAATATAAAAATTAGCCAGGCGTGGTGGCGGGTGCCTGTAATCCCAGCTACTTAGGAGGTTGAGGTTAGAGAATTGCTTGAACATGGGAGGTGGAGGCTGCAGTGAGCTGAGATGTGCTGCTGCATTCCAACCTGCGCGACAGAGTGAGACTCTGTCTCAAAAATAAAATAAAAGAAAATAAAAAATAAAAAAGGAACAAAGTATTAGGCATAATAATCATCAGCAGAGAGTGATTTTATGAAAGATAAAAACAGGGTGGTAAGAAGAG